GAGGAAGAGGACGTTTTAGACGTTTTGGCCCAGTGCAGCGTGCAGAGTTGAAGAGGGAAGCGGAGATGGACGAGGAGGAGGAGAAGGAGGAGGAGGAGGCAGAGATGGGAGGAGGGGAGGTGGAGGGAGGGATGGGAGGAGGAGGGGGAGGAGGAGGAGGAGGAGGAGGAGGAGGAGGAGGAGGAGGAGGAGGAGGAGGAGGAGGAGTATGAGGACGCACGGGTGGGAGGAGGGGGGGAGGAGGGAGGGATGGGAGGAGGAGGGCAAGGAGGAGGAGGCGGAGGAGGAGGAGGAAGAACAGGAGGAGGTGGAGGGGGAGGAGGACAAGCTAGGTACGCTCGCGTCATATCTGACGTCCTACCGCTCCCTCCCATCCCTTGCCATGGCGTAGATCTTCTCTCGATTCGCACAGTCGGATGTCGTAGCAGGGCGCAGCATTGCATGGCATAGCGTGGTGCTGAAGATCAACGCGTTGACTGATATCGCATGGCGTGGCGACACCCCAAAGTGGTAGGGGGGCTTCTGCGGCCCTAAAAATGGACGAATCGACACCGAATGTGTAATCATTTCCGATGGTTGTTTCGGGGGGCCATGTTCTAGATGTTGGGGCCTCTGTTTGACAGGATCAAAGACCATTCCGTGGCATGGCGCTGGAACTAACGGCGCCACTGCTGCAGCGGAAGAACGATTCGAACCAGCGGAAACGCGGAAATGAGGCCAGCGCTGCAGCAGGAGCACGATTCGGAACGAGCGGTAGCCCGAAAATGAGGCCAACGCTTCAGCGAGAACAACATTTTGAAACAAAACCCAAGCGAAAACCCGGTTCCCGGGAATCCCGTGTGTAAAAAATACGCGGAGGGGGGTGGGCGAATCTTCCCCGGACGTCACCATGGGAGACAGGAGAGTAGTCTTCATCTTGTGTAACTGTGAAGGAGGAAGAAGAGGAGGAGGAAGAGGAAGGGAAGAGGAGGAGGAGGAGGAAGGGAAGAGGAGGAGGAGGAGGACGAGGAGGAGGGGCAGAATGAGGAGGAGGAGGGGGAGGAGGAGGAGGAGGAGGAGGAGGAGGAGGAGGAGGAGGAGGAGGAGGGCGAGGAGGAGAAGGAGGAGGAGGGAGGAGAAAAGAGCAGGAGAAAGAGGATGGCACAGGGAGGAAGCGGCGGAGGAGGAGGAGGAGGAGGAGAAGGAGGAGGAGGAGGAGGAAGAGGACGTTTTAGACGTTTTGGCCCAGTGCAGCGTGCAGAGGAGAAGAGGGAGCAGGAGATGGAGGAGGAGGAGGGAGGAGGAGGAGGAGGAAAAGGAGGAGAAGGCAGGGATGGGAGGAGGAGGAGGAGGAGGAGGAGGAGGAGGAGGAGGAGGAGGAGGAGGAGGAGGAGGAGGAGGGAGGGATGGGAGGAGGGGGAGGAGGAGAAGGAGGAGGAGGAGGAAGAGGAGGAGGACGAGGAGGAGGAGGAGGAAAAGGACGAGGAGGGAGGTGGGAGGAGGCGTACCACCTTAGGATGGAGGACCGTAAGGAGGGAACCGCAAGCAAGGAGGAGGAGGAGGAGAAAGAGGAGGAGGAGGAGGAGGAGGAGGAGGAGGAGGAGGAGGAGGAGGAGGAGGAGGAGAAGGAACAGGAGGAGGAGGAGGAAGAGGACGTTTTAGACGTTTTGGCCCAGTGCAGCGTGCAGAGGAGAAGAGGGAGCAGGAGATGGAGGAGGAGGAGAAGAAGGAGGAGAAGGAGGAGAAGGAGGAGAAGGCAGGGATGGGAGGAGGAGGAAGAGGAGGGAGGAACGGGAGGAGGAGGAGGAGGAGGAGGAGGAGGAGGAGGAGGAGGAGGCGGAGGAAGATTTTTTAACGGCGCCAAGCATCCCACATACACCTCAACCGGGCGCATCGCCTCAGGATGGAGGACCGTACGGAGGGAACCGTAAGAAAGGAGGAGGAGGAGCAGGAGGAGGAGGAGCGCACGTACCTTGGGGAGGTCAGTGCTGTGCTAACAATGAGAGAGCAGCCCTGGCGGCGGCGCGCGCCTGAGAGAGCTGCGCAGCCGAGGTGGCGGTCTGCGGCTGCAGTGAACCCCGCAGCTTGTGGTAAATATGAACGTTGACAGCCACCGTCTCATGGACCCGCTGTCAACCGCCCTCCAAGCCGTCATAGTCGGACTCACCCCCCAGACCGAGACGAACCCAGGGATCAGGGGGGAGGAGTAACGTGGCTTGGGGGGGAGGCCGCAGCCCACAGCGGTGGGCATACTATGTAATGAGCAGTGTCGTCCGAACATGAGCATCCGAATCGACACAAGCTCTGAGGTAAAGTTTCACCCGGCCGCTGGTGATCCAGGCCCCAGAGAAAGTTTTAATATGCGGCGAGGACCTGGAGGGCAGAGATCGGGCGAGGATGGGGCGGAGGAGACGCCACCGACGACCGACCTCGGGGAGAGAGAGGCGAGGGAGTTGGGGGAACCAAGTGGACATGCGGCGCAAAATTAGCTGTGGCATGCCGTCAGGAATGCACTGGACCTGAAGGCTCCGAGAGTACTGAACCTGAAACCTCGGCGGTTTTTGGCGAGAGAGGGCTAGCTCCGCCGCCGTCATGGCATCAGCATGCGCGTTAAGGAGGATGGGTCGGGGCAGGGGAAGACAGGTGAGGGGACCAGGGTCAGAGGACGGGGGGGGGCGAAGAAAGTAGAGAAACGCTGAACTATGCTTTCCTGAATCCTCCAGCATGAGGCGCACCACTTTCCAGCAATAGCGCGTTGGAAGGGGCCTTCGGCCGTTGCTCTGAGCTGGAGTCGCTGGAACGCATCCCGCCATCCTTTGTAAGTGTGTCCAGCAGCACGCCAGACACAGGAAAAGTTCAGGTATTGCATGGGCCCAGGTGCACGGAGCCACCGAAGCGAGTGCAATTCCTTCAGGGCGAAGGACGAGGGCGGCAAACGCAGCAATGTGTGCAAAGCATGCGCCTCTTTTTGAAGGATGAGGGGAGGGAAGAGGAAGAACTGAGCAACGTACGAGAGGCAGGGGAGAATGAGGACACGATAAAGGCGCAAGCATGCATCTGCAGGGGCACGCGTGCCAGCGACCATTCGACAGCGGGCCCACCACTTTTGTCCGCCAGCAGCGAACTGGTCCTGCACCGTCGCCCCTGGGCCAATTTGAATCCCGAGGTAACGGCAGAAACTACAGATCTCAAATTCGGTCCACTCCGGAACCAGGGTCGACACAGCAGCACGAAGCAGGAGGAGGAGGAGGAGGAGGAGGAGGAGGAGGAGGAGGAGGAGGAGGAGGGAGGAGAAGGCAGGACGGAGGAGGGAGGGGGAGGAGGGCTTTTTCCAGATCGCGAAATCGGATCGGATCGGAACGAGCATCGAATCGGGCTGAGTCGGCTTGGAATCGTGATCGATCGGCTCGGAACGAGCATCGAATCGGGCCGAGTCGGCTCGGAATCGAGAACTAGTCGAATCAGCTGCGCCCAGATAAACAACAACGCTGTGCAAGCATCGGGCGGCATCGGATCGCCAAGAAATCTACAGCGCATCGGATCGAGCCCAGCAAATCGGACATCGAGTCGGATCGATCGAATCGAAATGATCCCTGGAGGAGTCACAGGGGCCGAGCTTGAGCGGATTCTGGTCGGCGTCGGGGCGAGGGGACGTCGGTCTTCCGATGGTCCTCGAATGCGTGTCAGCGCCAGCGTGTGCTTGTCCACTGGAGCCTTTTCCGTGCGACGCAAGCACCGTGGTGAGGGCCGGCGCGGGCTGAACGGCGTAAACTTACTGGACTCGTGCTGCCGATTTTGGTTTGAATCCGCATATCTTAGGGGGGGCCCGTGGGCTTCTATAAAGCCTTCTCATAGGCGGGAGAGCTTCGGAAAAAACCCTGTTCTTCTCGGAACGCCGACGCCCTCGTGCCCCTCTCGCTTCTTCACGCCGCCGACCTTCTTGTGGACGCCGGCCTCGATCTCCCAGTGGATACTCTCCTCGGGGAGCAAAACAAAAAAACGATATCGAACAGCAACAACAACACGCACACACACAAGCATTCGGTCGTCCTCGCGGACATCGCCGGCCTGTGCAGGACCACCATCCTGGAAGTACCAGCCCGTTCCTCTGGCGCGCGGAGCGCGCCAGGGCAGGAGAGGCGTCGGAGGCGCCGCCAGGAGCGTCCAGTGCCGATTGCAAGACATCCGCGCGGGTATTCGAAAGCTTTCGCTTTGGGATCTGTTCTTCTTCGACAGATCATAGGTTGGGGGGGGTGAAACAAAGCGAAACTGAGCCCCCCAACTGGGACAAGTGTTTCGGTTTCGATTCGTGTCGCTCGTGCGGGCGAGACGAAGCTGCGCGAGTTACTGCACTAGCTCAGGCCAGGCCAAGATGAAGCGACTCGGCCACGTCCGCCAGGGCGTGCCTGTGGATTGTCCCGGTGGTTGTCCCGATGGTTGTCTCGTGGCTGTCCCGAGGACGTCTCGAGGGTGACCCGTGTTTGCCTCGCGGTTGCCCCGTGGTTGTCCCATTGTTGTCGCACGATTGCCCCGTGGTTGCCCCATGCTTGTTCCGTGCTTGTTCTGTGGCTGTCCCGTCGATGTCGTCCTGTGGTTGTCGCGTGGTTGCCAATGGTTGTCCCGCGGTTGTCCCGTGGTTGTCCCGTTTGTGCTCCGTGGTTACATTGTGGTTGTCTTGCTGTTGTCGCGCGGTTGCCCCGTGGTTGCCCCATCCTTGTCCCGTGCTTGTTCCGCGGCTGTCCCGTCGCTGTCCTGTGGTCGTCGCGTGATTGCCCGTGGTTGTTTCGCAGCTGTCCCGTAGCTGCCCCGTCTGTAGATGGATAGATGATGAGACCGGTACATAGATTGTGGTAGTGAGGCCAAGAGGTAGAGAGATCGATTGATATCTTGGTTGCGGGATCGATGAATAGATACTGCGACCGATAGCGTAGGAATATCGATCGATCGATTTCGAGCTATGTCTCTCTCACTCTCTCTCTATCGTTGTATAGATGTGTATCATTATGTATGTACATCTACATGCGTGTACATATAGATGTATACACAATTATGTGAACAAATGCCGATGCAACCAGATGTACATAAACACGTTTAAATATGTGTATGCCTCCATTTGTACATATATATATATATATATATACACACGTGCTAGAGTGAGGGGGGCGAGCGGTCATTCATTGTCCCTGGGCGCGTGACTGAAGTGAGGTTCCGCGATGCTTACTGAATGTTTGTTAAAAACAAATCAGTTGATCCCCCCTCTGGCGCACATTGCGTTCTCAATCTTAACGGTGGATTAACTCAACAGCGTAGTGTCGATAGCGTACAACAGCATAGTGTCAACAGCGTAGTGTCAACATCGTAGTGCCAACAGCACAGTGCCAACAACGTAGTGTCAACCAACGGCGTAGCAACAGCGTAGTGTCAACAGCGTAGTGTCATCAGCGTAGTGTCAACCTACGGCGTAGCAACAGTGTAGTGTCAACAGCGTAGGGTCAACCAACGGTGTAGCAGCAGCCTGAATGTCAACAGCGTAGTGTCAACATTGTACTGTCAACCCACATCGTACTGTCGACAGCGTATGGCTAGCTGCGCGAACCAACGACATTGGGTGACCTCTGAGCGTACTGTCTACCGACACCGTAATGTCAACACCGTAATGTCAACAGCGTGGTGACAAGAGCGTAGTGACAACAGCGTAGTGTCAATGACGCAGTGTCACAGCGTAGTGTCAGCAGCATGAACCAACAGCGTAGCCGAAAACAATGTTGTAGCGTCGCCCAACATCGTAATCTCAACAGCGTAGCGTCAACAGCGTAATGTCAACAGCGTAGCGTTGTAGTGTCAACAGCGTAGTGTCAACAGCGCAGTGTCAACGAACGGCGTAGCAACAGCGCAGTGTCAACACCGCAATGTCAACAGCGTAGTGTCAACAGCGTAGTGTTGACAGCTTACTGCCAACAACGTACTGTCAACAGCGTAGTGTCAACAGCGTAGTGTCAACAGCGTAGTGTCATCAGCGTAGTAACAACAGCGTAGTGCCAACAGCGTAGTGTCAACAGCGTAGTGTCAGCAGCGTAGTGCCAACAGCGTAGTGTCAACAGCGTAGTGTCAGCAACATGAACCAACAGCTTAACGGGAAGTAGCAGCGTAGCGTCGACCAACAGCGTCATGTCAACAGCGTAGCGCCAACAGCGTAATGTCGACAGCGTAGCGTCGTAGTGTCAACAGCGTAGTGCCAACAAGACAGTGTCAACAGCGCAGTGTCAACAGCGTAGCGTCAACAGCGTGTCAACAGCGTGGCGGCGGTGGCGCGGAGGCGTTCCACCAGGCAGCCAGAGGAAGCCGCGGCTGGCCGCTTCCTCTGCGCCATCGGCCGCGCGGAGGCACCCGCCGCCGACGCGGGCGCTTGGCGCGAGCCGAAATGGCAGGACCCATGAGAGAATAAGGAAGGGAGAAGTCGCGAGGACGAGGACCCAGGTGCTGGTCGTCGTCGTCGTCGTCGTCCTCATCCTCCTCCTCCACCTCCTCCTCCTCCTCCTCCTCCTACTCCTCGTCCACGTCCTCGTTCTCATTGGAACTCTGGAACTATCGATCCGCTGTCCCGTGCAAACACAATAAATTGGGTGGTGGCATCACCATTGCAAGGCGGTATGCGCTGTAACTCCCCTTCCCGTTGATACTACCGCGGCCCTCAAACCACCCACCCCCCACTTACCCTTGGCCTTGCTGGGCACATGGCCAATAGCTCGATTAGGTGCATGGGGGGGGGGGGCGAGGGAGTCTAGAGATGGGAGCGAAGGCCCGGAATGAGACGGGCCACGCATATCATTCGAGATGTGGATATGTGACGTGTCGCAGCCGCCAGCCAGCAGCGTATTGTCAACCAATAGCACAATGCCAACCAACAGCGCAAAGAAAACCAACAGCGCCGTGTCAACCAACAGCGAAGCGTCAGCAACATCATGCCAACCGACCGCGTCATTGCAACGACGTAGTGTCAACAGCGTCGCGTCAGCAACGTGGTGTCAACAGCGTAGTGTAAGCAGCGTAGTGCCAACAACGTAGTGTCAACAATGCAGTGCCAACAACGTATTACCAGCAATGTAATGTCAACATAGTACTGTCAACAGCGTAGTGTCAGCAACGTAGTGCCAACAGCGTAGTGCCAACCAACATTGGAATATCAACAGCGCGATGTCATCAGGTCAAAATCACTATGGGCGGTTTTGGGAGCGACGAGCAGCTCGCAGCGCACTGTCGAAAGCACGTTGTTAATAACGTGGTGTCAACAGCGTAGTATCAACATCGCAGTGCCAACAGCGTGCTGTCAACAAACAGTGTGAGCAAAACCGTCAACGGCGCAATGTCAAAACCTCGCTAGAAGCTTGCAGTGAGCGTAGAGCGTCTGTTAATGCCAACAGGGTCGTGTCAACAGCGCAGCGTCAAAAGTAGCAGCGTGCGAGCAGCGTACATCGTCTCCTCTCAATGCCAACAGCGTAGTGTCAACAGCGCAATGTCGCATGTAGGAGCGGGCGAGAAGCGTGCAGCGTCTCCTGTCAGTGCTAACGGCGTAATGTCAACAACGCAACGCACTGTCAGAGGTACGAACGAGTACCAAGAGCGTCCAGCGTCTGCTCTTGATGCCAACGGCGCTCCTACATGCCAACAGGGTACTGTCAACAGCGCAGTGTCAGAGATTCAGGAACGCAGAGCCTCTCCTCTTAATGCCAACTGCCAACAACGTAGTGTCAACAGCGCAGTGTCAGAGATTCAGGAGCGCAAAGCCTCTCCTCCTAATGCCAACTGCCAACAACGACGTAGTGTCAATAACGTAATGTCAACGGCGCAGTGTCAGAGACCCAGGAGCGCAGAGCCTCTCCTCTTGATTCCAACTGCCAACAACGACGTATTGCCAACAACGTAGTGTCAACAGCGCAGTATCAACAGCGCGCTGTCACATATTAGAAGCGCGCGGTCTCTCCTCGGAATGCCAAAAGCGTCGTGTCAACAGCGCAGTGATGATTCACCCTTGCGTTACATAATGTCGACAGCGTAATGTAAATTCACTGTTTGAACTTCAATTCACTGTTAAGAGATGCCTTGTCTCAATTGAAGTGCCCCTCCCGGGGCTCGCACCCTGTTTTTTATCATGGAAGATCGTGAAGCACAAATTGGGCCCTGGCCCCCGAACTACAACAACAACGGCTCCCGCCTGATGCTTCCTCACAACTTATTAGCCCCCCCGCTCCCGTTTGAAACTTCCTCGCAGTTTACAATAGAATCGTGCTCTCGCCTAAAACTCCCTTGCAATTTACTAAGGCGCCGCGCTCCCGCCATTCAGGAATTGCATTCTCGCCCTGGACCTCCTTTTAATTCACTTGGGAATCGCGCTCTCGCTCGACACTTCCTGGCGAATTTTGCAAGACCCACTCATTCGCGACCCGCCCGTTCGACCCGCCCGTCAAGGTCCGCCCGCCTGACCTGCCCGGGAAGGCCCGCAGTCGCTCCTCGTTGCGTTTCGCCCGTTCCGATGCCCGTCGCTGCCCCTGGCGATACTGCAGTCGGATTTGAAGGCCCCGCCGCTGCCTTCGTGGCCTCCTCGATGCCTTTCGTGGCCCTGCTATTTGAGCCCCTCGATGCCGTTCGTGGCCCCGCAGTCGCCTTTCGTAGGCCCCTCGCTGACCTTCGCGGCCCCGATGTAGCTCTTCGTGGCCCTCTCGCTGCCCATCCTGGCCTCTTTGCAGCCTTCAGCGGCGCCCTTCCATTTACGGCTGCTCCAATTTCACGTGGCAGGGAAGAAACATATCTCGCTAAAGAGGGCACGATCGAAGACGAAGAGGGCGGGTATCCAGGGCTCGGGAAGCACAGGTTGATTGACACGCACGCGCATAAGAGCAAACAGTCTTAATTCATCTTTGCTGTTGATAGTGTCGAATTCTCATGTCTTACAAGTAGTTATTGTCGATCCCCCCTCCAAT